ACACATCGGTACACAAAATCTGACTTTACAGCTAGAGCGATAGTCACTAGTCCTTATCTGAAATTTATCCAACAAGCCGGTAGACTAGAGCAATTACATCGACTGTAAGTAGAGACAAACTTAGGGAGGAGCGAGCGTGTATCAATAGCCCTGCACGGCACTATTCTCCTTGTGACACGTTTAGTGTCAATTACAGGAAGCACAGTCTTTAAGTCTGGCAGTTGGCTGAAGAATCCAGAACCTGACAACTGCTCATGCAGTTTGCGTTGCAAGAAAAGTGTCTACGTGGCCTTTAAATGCTTAGTTTTAATGCTTAATACATTTGATATTTAATACTCATCTCAAGTTTTCAGAGTGTCAGCCACGGTAAATCAGCTCCTCAAATTTTATTATTGCAGATCATGATTAAAGCGTTTCTGGGGAAGGTTAGCAGAGAACGACAAGTTAATCCACTCATTCCCCTGTTACATCTTTGAAAGTTGAAGCTTTTAATTGTATTTAGAATACACAAAAGATTTCAGAATCCTGCCATCGAGCATAAACAAGAAAATAAAGTCAACGGTACCTAGACTGTCGTATTGTCCTGTGCGGAAAATTGCATCCAGGCTACTCCTATTTCCATTGTATCAGAAATTCTGAAACATGATCGGATGAAAACAGCTACCCAGAATGCAGCTCAAAAAGCTGTTAAGAGTTTGAGTTGCATTCAGTCGACTAATGTTGTGCCACATCGATCAATTTACAGTACCTAACATTTTCTATTTCAAATGTTCATCGCCTTGCTTGAAAGTCTGCTTGCCTCGTTATGGTATTAGATTACAGGACAACAAAGTAGCTGCTTTCTCATGCTGAACCAGATCAAAGTATCAGGTTCTGCATCTTGCTCTGTTACAAATCATTGCTTGCAGCCTACATCGCTTAAGAAATGGCACAAGCCATTGCCTTTGGCTGTTGTACCTCATCTCTAAGGGACAAGAGATGCTGACAATATTACAGTACCTCTAAATGCTGCTCTTCATTCCCATACAAACCATACCTTGAGAATTTAGAAGAATGTAACACAAGATGTGCATGTAGCAGTGGATCTGAATCAAAGCCATCAATGTTATGGCGCTGTTTTCAAGATGATTTAATTAAAATGGATGAAGGCTTTGTAGGAACTGAGGAACTGTTAGAGTCTTGGAACACATAATAGGTTAATGGCAACAGATACATATGGCAGCATTAAGAGCTGATTTTACTTTGATAGACACAAGCTCCAAAACATTCAGAGAGGCAAAAAATGCTCATAATTAATATATTTAGAAAGAACCTTTTTCATGGCAGTAATAACAGCACTTCTGTGGTTTGTACTGTTAATTATGTTTAACTAGAGATAGGTAACAACTAATACCCTCCCCCCCCAATAAGACAGTGCCATTTTATTACTAAGGAAAATTCCAGTTTAGTATAAATCTGTATCCTGTGTGTCTGTATCTGTATCCTCTTAAGTCAATTAATTCTTAAGTCTTATAGACTTGAACATTAGCTACTTTGTGTTCCTGGTAACATGTGCTGTCTCACTCATAGGTTTCTTTTGTCGTAGCACAAAAATTGCCGCATACAAAAGACGCTTTCTTGTGTCACGCTAAAAGATCGGAACGGCGTATAACTTCATCCCAGTTTCGGAACGAGGAATGACTCAACCAATACAGGGATCCATGTCCAGGGGGTGAAAAAGAAACCATATCCAACGTAAGACTGGAAGCTGGGGCCAGAGTTGGAGTCAGAGCTTCTGAAAGTGTCTTCACTTTAAAGGAGATGTCATCTTTGTGTGGTGTCGGCTGAGTAAATAATAGGATTTGGAAGGGCAATCTTCCTGTCAGGCATTAGAGAATTCAAAGGCCCTGGAGGCAAGCCTAGAGGAGCCCATTTACAAAGGATATGTTTGATATTTGTTTTATTAAATGGGAATCTAAGCAGATTAAGATTTCTTTAGCTAACCCAAACTGAAGTCATTTAAAGGAGGAAAATGAAGATACCAATCACTGTGAACCTTTAACTCAACAAGCCCAGTTAACGAAGTGACACTTGATGGGGAATTTCATCGAATATATGAAAGACCAGATCAAAATGTGCTCAAATTAAAGTACATTTGTGTTTTAAAAAATGTAAAAAATAATATTTTTACTATTGCAAATTAAACTGCAGGTGTCTCCGTTTAAGAGAAGTGATACACCTGCTTTTCATCAGCTACAAGACCCGACCTGTCTTGTAAAAAAATTCCTCTAAATGATGGCTCTTAAGAACACACTGAAAATAAAATGAATCGTACACTGGGTGAAGTTTTTCGTGCCCTGCACTGTGGTGACCCCGGGCGCCTCGGGCAAAGTGACCAGCGTTGCCACAGAAAGATGATACGCTTGATCTGTGACACTGCATCATACAAAGTAACTCTGGCCTAATTTCTGTTAAACCGAGTCACCGGCTGGAATTTAATTGGGGGCAGTAGAAGATAGGAGGGATCAAGCAGGGCAGGCCTCAAAAAGACAGGACACTCGACAACATCATTATGTTACAGTAGAAGTCAGGAAAACTTAAATATGAAAACTACGTTCCCTCAAAAAAACTTTTCATTACAAAATATGTGGTACCTCTCAGCATATTATTCCTAAGCTGATAACAGTCAGTTGTTAATTTTCATGGCTGTGATTAAATGTAATCGTTAATCGTTTCTCTTACTGGACAATCATTAAAGTGTGTATTTTCCAGGAGTGTGGGTAAGGATTGTATTTCATTCCCTACATAGAAATACAATCACCTTTGTGGGCAGAGTCATCTCATTTTTATTTACTTTTTCCTTCCAAATGGCTTGACAAAATGTCAAGATCACAGAATAAAAGCAAAAGGTTCTCTCAGGGTCTGACGAGGATGATATCAAAGCTTTTTTTCTTTTTTTTCTTTTTTTATTTTTGCTTTATGTCCGGCTAAACAAAACTGTGCTCTCTAGTCCTCGCTGTCCCCCGTGGCCTTTAAGTTCCTATTTCCAAAAAGACACTGATAGCATGACCTCTCACACACATAAAAGTGGAGAAAGTGATTCCAGTTCGCACAGTTGAAAGCACCAGGGCCTGCATCTGTGAGACTCCATTGTTCACGATTGCCAATTCTATAGCTGCTTTTGAATTTCAAAGGCGGCTCTGAAGCACTTTTGGCCAAATGTTGGCATGTTGTCTTGGAGGGGAGGAAAGACGCGGAAAATAGGAGCAGACAAAATCTTAAAATAACAAAACAGCCAACTTATTTTTCATAAATACAAAACTGAAACTGAATACATACAGTGGCTATATAGATCTGGTATAAAAATACAATATCTAATAGATGACAGATATACTGATACAACACCTGTTTCATAATAAATTTCCAGTTGCATTTTTTGCAACAAAAAAAAAACACATTGCACATATTCATATTCATTTTTTTCTATTAAAACATACTAAACACTTGCATTCTGATGAATATTTAAGTTTCACATTTAATAGAACCTGTATAATTATCATTGATGTATGAACAATCAGCTCTAAACAATGTATGCTAATCAGGACAAACTCCGGTGCGGACATCAAAGCAGTCACAATGGAACCAGCGGCAGGAAATGGCCATGAAGTATTAGCTTCAATAAAACGTGCTTAAGGCAAACTCGAAGCACAAAAGGATGTCGTCGATTCAGCTGCTGATAAGCTTATTTTAACATCACTGCTGCCTATGTACATACAGATTTAATTGGGCTAATTAAAATCCACTCAAGGCATAATGCAACTTCTAATGAAATAAATAATCTAGAAGAAAATAATTTAACACAAATTAATTCTATTTTTGTTCTAGGGGAACCTATTTCTTATTTTGGTTTATAATGTTCTGTTTATATAGTATTATAGAGTATTGGCAAACCAATTCCCTGCAATACCACATAAATAAATATATATATATATATATTTATAATACTACAAATGTGTATATAATCAAATACAAACAATACTAAATAAAATATGATGAGAATAATAGTAGCTATAGAGGGTTTGTGTCGAGTCACGTGAGGGTTTGTGTCACAATTCCTTGCGTTTCTGCACCATTCACAGCCAATAGGTTAAACTCCCTCCAAAAAGCCTCCCTCCAATGTCTGTGAGGGAATCATCTTACCAGGAGCACGGACCTGTGAGTGTAGCACAAGTGGAATATTCATACAGGGCCGTCCATAAGGGGACAGAATGGAAAAGACATTCCAGCACACATAAACTAGGGGGGCCCATGAGTGTATGAGCGTGGATAATGGTGTTTGGCTTGGGGGGGGGGGCATTTGGTCATATTTTTCTGGGGCCCAGGGAGCCATGTCTTTGTGTAGCCCTGTATACATACAGGAATGCAGTTTCTGCAGATGAAATGAATTCTTTCATACTAAACCGGTCGCATTAAGAAGCTGAGCAGAGTTTTAGCTAGCATATTAAAGTCACATTCATATGTACCATTTAACCTTTTGAACTTTATCATGCATGAAATACAGAAAACGATTCACAATAAATGGCAATCAACATTCTAGGCGCCTCCAAATATATTACAGTACCACAAAATCTTACTGTTCCAAATATACGTCAATTTTCATTGCCATTTTTTTAACCAGACTCAGTTCAAGGCATTCTGTTATAAGCCCTATAAATGGTAGCTATTATGGGATTCGTTTCTCACCTGTAGAAGCGAGCTAATTATAATATGACAAATGAAATCACATTTGAGGTATAAAACCTTCACTGTCTACTGCAACTGGCATTACGAACAAACATGATTTTGCCTTCTAATAACTCTTAGGTATTTATTGAAATAGCAAGGCTTATGGGGGTATTTTTTTGTAACGTTGCCATTCAGATGTCACTATCTGCTGTGAGGTGACAACTTTGCCATGTCACTATCTGCAGTGAGGTGACCAAGGCACAGGGGAACCCTGGGAAGAATTTTTCCAAATTTACCTGTAGGGGGAATCATTCCTGGTGACATGAGACCGGGCACTGAGTGTGGCATGATGTGTGGATTCTCGGGTGACGTGACGCTCTGTGTCCTCTTCGGTGGGCGTCCAGGTCTCGAGCTGAAATTGAAATAAGGTATTTGGGGGGGGGGGGTGTTACCATTTGAACTACCTTAAACCCCATTCTGTTCTAAAGACTTAACATGTACTGTAAATAATTTTTTTCAAGGACAGTTGCTTTCCGCAGCTCGACATAATAGACTTCCATTACTAATTAGATTACACACTGAATTCATTTCCTTTATTGAAGATCAACCGCTTCTGGATGCATAATTCATAGCCTGTACCTCGTTACCTGCTCCAGTATTAATATCCAAGCTCTGTTTGAATTGCCTCGTTTGCATATGCTAAAATCCAGCGTGCAGTTTCAGCCCAAAAATTACATGTTAACTTGTTTTAATTATTGCAGTCATTCCACTATTGATTTATGAGATTTTTAAAAACCAAATATATGTCGTTCTGTAATGAATGATATTTTAAGGTTCTTCAGGAAATTAAAAGGCAATGGGTGCCTAAGGAAATGTTCTGCTAGCTTGATTTAATACCGCAGCTAGCTGGAAGGTGGTATGGGGAGTGATTCAGACCTGTGCTACATTTCTGATGGAATGTTTTATTACTTTACATGGCTAACCAAGTATCTGAGATGATAAATGAGGTCACGTGCTCATGCTTAAAGTATCATAAAATGTCTTTGTTTGCATTTTTTTTGTTCTCTTTTTGAAATCTAAGAAGCTAAACATTGCATTTCATTAGCAACACCTTGGGTTTAGTGGACAAGGAGTCAATATCCATTTAAGTCACAAAGAATACATTTGCAACCATTGTCCCCACAATGTAATATATAGCTGGGCCACACACACACACACACACACGGGCCCTCTGAAACTGCTTTAGATAAGTTAATATCCCTTTTATTTATTTTGCATACGCTTTTATCCAAGACAACACGCAATTAACAAAGCAGGTTTAAGGCCCTTGCTCTAGTGCCCAGTGGTGAAATCAATCTGCCAACATAAGGGTCTGAAAGGGATTTGATGAGGATTTGACCTTAGGCTTCCCGCATGGCTTCTGAACCTACACACCGCTGAGATGCGGGGCATGAAAATATCCCACAAGGAAGTAAGTCACCAACCAAGGATACATACATAATTGCTTTACCTTGTATGAAATGATCAGTGTGATGAAGATGATACGTGACTACCCCCACAAATTTGTTTTCCCTTGATTTTAGTGAAATTTAATGAGCTGCTTTTGTATTTTCTCATGTAAAATCGTCAAAAAAAAAACAAATTTAAAAAACAGGCACTATCTAACTGGCTAAAGCCAAAAGAAAACTGTCATCTACATTAAGGGCTGTCAAGCTTTTGACATCCACGGACCAGTTTACCTCATACGAAAAAGAATTATGGAGCAGTAAAACAGCTGGAGAGTGGGTGGGCAATCAGCAGGTCGATCGGCGATTTGATAACCTTAATCACTTCGATTTTATCTCAGATGTGAACAGAACAAAAAAAATAAAATAAATATATATATACAGTATATACAGTATATACAAAATCCCCAGTGTTTCGCGTCCACGGACAGGTACCGGGGTTGGGAACCCCTACTAGACATCGCCATCTTTAAGATAAAATACACAAGAGAATTTTTTTCTATCTTTAATACCACTTATTTTGTACATACTAACGCAATGAGAAAGTGGCGCATTCGGAAGAGTGATGCTCGAGCGCTCTCTCGCTTACAGGGCTAGGGTGAGTTTGGGATTCCATTTCAGCCCTTTATTAGATTTTAGTACTTTCCTCAAAGCACATTACTCACAAATTACAGGGAAAGAGGAGATGAGAGCCAGCTCAAAAGGGAGATGTTTTGAAATGTAATTCTTATTTCTATAGAAACACCTACTTGATCCTATGAGGAAAATTGCACATAGTTTTACTGTTATCACTTTCAATTTACTCAGCTGAATTATTTATGAAAGGCCTCGGTGGAGGTATGTAATGATAAAAAGCTTTTGAACAATGTCAAAAGCACCAAAAGTCAACGAGACCAAAATGCTGGTGCTGCACCCACTCCTCAGTTACACACGGATCTCTGGATGAAATCTTACAATGTGCATTTAGTCAGGGTTTAAAGCATTTAGCTGAGGTATTAAGTTACACTACAGGCTTTCGCAGTGATGATTTGTACATCGTTGGGCTTCTGTTGCGGGTATGGAATCAATTTCATAGCGACTTAATCAAATAAATAAATACTTTGCTGTAAGAGAGGAAGTATACCATGGGGCATGTGATTGCTTCTTCACAGAATCGGTTTTGTCAAAATTATATTCTATATCATCATTTACACATGTACATTTTATAAACACAGCAGATCCACATACTGCCTTGACTCCACACTCTATGTCATTTGCCTTTGATCACTCATGTATCATATTTTAAGTGTTATGCATCAGAGTGTACAGGCTGTGTTGGCTAATAGTATTCTACTGCAGGGATTTATTTACTGAAAGTCCTTTATAATATAGTACAAACCATTCTCCAATTGCTAATTGCCATAACTTTCCAGAGAGACTCTGACAGTGTGAAAAATGTCACCGAAATACCATCTTAAAGGTGCCTATCATCTAGACACGGATGTTCTTGCGAAGTGTAATGACATTTTCATCTTTGAATTTCGCCACTACATATTTTGAGTCATAACTCAGCAAGGACATTTGAAGTAAGAAGCTTCAATAATTAAATTTGAAAATATTTCCATTTTTAGTGTAAATTTCGCCGATAAAAGTAATTTGTTGTTTTTATATTTAACTTTAGTTACCTACATATTGACTATCAGCACAATAAGAAAGCACTGGAACACGTTTATGATTACAGGATTTTTTTATTTTATTTTGAGGTGTCAGTCATTATGTGTTTTCAAAGACTTCCTGGTAGCTTCCCGTGGAGTGAAAGATCGGTATTTTGGATTCTGAGCAGTAGTCACAAAAATAGCTTGTTTATTTGTCAAATAACAAGAGTTAACTTTATAAAAAATTGATTTCTACAAAAAACATTCCCACAGATTAGGAGCAGTGCAGTAGTATCATGGAGACACAGGTGACAGTTTAGGATGCAATACTGACCATTTGGCAGTTGCAGCTTGAGGACACTAAACCAGAACGACTCCAACGAGGACGCCTGGATTTAGTTTTGCCCCAACAGAAATTAAAACACCAGTTCTTTTCAAGAACTTATGTGTTGAAAGCACATTGTCTTGTTGATCCCATGCATATAATTTATTTTAAATTTACATGTTATTATAGCATTATGTGTCCTATAGTACAGTACATTAATGTAGCGATTAATGTATACAACCTGGTGCAACTGTAAAAATGTACCATGTGTCTTGTTTTATTTTGTATATTTTGAATATGCACAATGATATAGAGTACTCCTGTCAACCAAATATGCAATGTTTCATATTCTTTCATATTATTTGAAAATATTACATTTAGAAGAAGAAGTAAATATGTACAAATCTGTAACCTCCCTTTAAATGTGCAAGAACGGTGAAAAGCAAATAGTGCTGAACTTTCCCTGAACCGTGTCTCCTTTAATGGACTTCATCCATGTCGACCCAGCCGTGAAAGCAGGAACCTGATACTATCCCTACACGCTACTGCCGACTAATGCAATCAGATTATAGTCAAACAATACACTCTGCGTAGTTCACATTTCAATGCACAACATTAGAGCACAACAGCCCATGTCTATTAATCACTGCTTGAGTTCACATTCTCTGCAGAATGCCCACATTAAGTTAAATGTTTAATGATAGACCAGACTGTCGCTAAACCTTAAAACGATGCAATACTTAGCTGTTCCGTTCATTGAAGTTCTTGTATCATGCTATTTCTTGCATCTTTTAACACATTCAATAGGACCTTCAATGAAGCTATAATGAACGTGTAACTGTCTTTACATGTGATTAAGTACTGTACTATTTTGCACAAAAATTTTAACTACCAAAGTATTGACGCACATAACAAATTAATAAATACACATTTAAATTGTAAGTGGATACTGTAATAACTTATCTAAGGGGAATACGAAAAAAGGCCCATCTAAACGGCTTCTTTATGGCTGTCAGAGTCGTATCAGTAGTGACTGCTAAGAAAGCCCAAGGTGAAAATCTCCTACATTAATACTGTGGTCACAGCACCACAATTCCAATAAACTGAACTCTCTGTGGAGATTCGGGAATCACTGCAACTACTCCCTTTGGTGCAGACACACTATATGCAATCGTTTTACATGTTAGTTTGTATTTCCTTTACAAATGAACCCCAATACTGGCCACAGTGAATGGAACAGGAAGTGCAATATGTCTATGGGCACACCTGCATGGTTATCAGCCACTGGTTCTTGCACCAGCGCATCTGCTCTGCTGTCAGAGGCCAGTCTGGAACAACTGTCTTGTAGCAGTGACCCTCACTGCATAAGCAAAAGACAAAAACATTGCACAGAGGCTACTAGGTTCACTAGCTACTTAGAAGGACTTAGAAGATTCCTGGTGCCAGGGAAATCGAAGGGTCTTAATTTTGGTGACTAAAATACTATGTGGAATTTAATTTAGTCCATAACAAACACTTCATTTTGCTTTTGTAATAAGAAAAGCAAAATGAGCTGAATTTCTCATATGCGTTATTGCACTTAGTAAATCGTTAGTAGATCAGCAGAAGTTGCTTACTCTTATTGTGTAAATGTTTTCCAAAGTGCTTTCTTCTTTTTTTTTATTTAACTGATAAGCCACTTAACCTCAGAGTGGAAAGTACTTTGTCCAGCTGCACAACAGACAACAGAACTTTGTAATCCTGCTTGTGTGTAATTTCCACAAGTAAATAATGTAACTTGGAAAGAAGAATGTCATGTACTGTAATTAGTAACTTTAATCAATTAATTTTGCACATGATTATGCAAAAGTTAAATGACAAGTGGATATGACAAGTGGAAATGACACACATATATATATATTGTGTGGTCCAGGTATAAATTACAATTCCCCACAATGTGATAAAACCT